TTGACAGAGCGTAAATGGCAGTTAAAGATCTCGACATAAATCAAATCCAAGCGAATAACCAAAATTTCTGAGTTGTGTACCGCGGTTATAATATGGTTTAAGATGACACAGGGGTTGATGACGTCAGTTACTAGAATCTCTTGAACGCGTTGGGTTTGACCGCGGTTTTGTTGCAGGTTGTTATTTTAGAAAAGCGCGTAGGTATATAATTTCTGATAATTTTTATTATCACTTAATAATAAATAATCGGTGCTTTTTCGTCTACAACAGTGAATGGAAAGATTAAAAAAGAAACCTTTCATAATATTAATGGGAGAAATGTATTTTTTTCAGAAAGTAATTTTTAATGATGGAACCATTGCTTTGTAGCTATGATAACTTTCAATTCTCTAAACTTTGCCGCATGTCAAAGAAAACATTTATTGATTTAGCAGAAATGATAGGAAAAACAGGTGGACATTATCTAGTGAGTTTATATAGCCATATTTTAATATTCTTGTGGTATATGGCTACACAGGATACTTTATTAAGCATAGTAACTAGATTTAAAGTGTCCCCAACAACAGTAATGAGTATAACTAATAAGGTGCTCTACTTTATGATACAACTGAAGTCAGCCTACTATATATCAAGTTTCCTAAAAATGAAGCTGAACAAAAATATCCAATGCCCGGTAAAATTCTAACTTGTCACATTTCAAATAATAACCAGAAATGTAAAACTACTCCAACTACAATTTTGCGGTGATAACTATGACATATAACAGCTGATTCATGACGTCACGGATCTTATAACCAAACTGATAACCGCACTCGCTTGAACGAATCGGTAAATACCAATCCAAAATGGTAAATACCAATTTCATTTGGTTATTCGCTTGAATTTGATTATCGTCTCGCTTGACAGGTGCGGGATGAAGGCGACCGGCAGGGGTATCACGTATCTTAAAAATTCTGACGTTATGTCGGGTTTATTTGTGACACTATGTAGGTTTTTCTACGAGATGTCAACTTAGCACTAGCTGTTGTTGTGTACGGGTTCCGTAGTTTTACGTGTTGCCTAAACGTCATCTGAAGTCGATGTGATGTATGGTCGCTCGCAAAAATAATCGCGCCCCAAGGAACATATTGACGTCATAATATCGGCATCTTTATAGCACCACTGTCATACGCCAACCAACAAAAATGACGTAGAAATGACGTCATTATGACGGTCTAATGTTACACCCAATTGACGACATTATATGACGTCATAGTAAGTCATATAAGAGAACAAATTCAAAGTCGATATTACGTCTGTATGACATGGATATGACCTATATCTGAGGATGACATGACGCCGATATGACGTACAGTCGCCCGCAAAAATAATCGCGTGGAGTATCCAAACTCGTATTAACAAGATATTTTTGGTTGAAGAAAGTAGTTATTAGTAGATATTTGAATATCTAATTTACCGTACTGTTCATTAAAAGTCTATATTTTCTTTGTCAGTAAGTGTTGATTTTTCAGTACTGACTAAACTAAAAAAGGACATCAAAATGACAGCCTTTTAAAGGTCGTCCCGTTGACGTCATAAAAATGGCGTCAATAAAGACCATCATTTTTTAGTCAATGATGTTTCGACCAATAATGACGTCATTTTGGCGTCATCTTATTCACTGGGATATCATGTATCACCAAAATACATGATTTTATTTGCGGTTACAATACTTCCTCGTCAATTGACGTAGGAAGTAAAAAACATTATTTTTGTAGTAAGCCGTAATAAGAGCTAAAACCTATGTTGTTGTTCATCTTCGATCACAATTTCGGCTCTAAAAACTTAATTGGCTTATTTTTTTCCGTTTTTTTTTTCTTTTTGTACTGCTGTGGTTGTTAATATACATACAGGGTGATTCACAAGTCGTCCCCAAAAATGAAACTGTATCTCCGCCACTGGTGCACGTTAATTTTAAGTAAAGACTTGTGAATGTGGACAATACTTAGGTAAATCCACATACCAAATTGACGTTTTGAAGATATTAAAAAAATTGTTTTTTATTTTTGAACTTAAAGCCCGTATCTTTTTGATGAAGCCATCGATGAAAAAACGTTACATAGAACCCCCTTAAAATGGGGTCTTGTGGATGATGTTTCATTTTTGGTCACGACTTGTGAATCACAATGTATTTACAGAAAGTTCTCTTACAGGCGTCACCGCCATGTTAATATGCGATGGTGCAACGTTTAAGCATCCCACAAACCGGAGCAAAATAGTCGCTTTGGCTGCGAAAATTTTGCGGCGATGAATTCGCGATCAGATTAAAACGCGGCGGTTTACGGACAGGCTCAGACTTGTGCGAAGCGAATGCGATTGTTCCAGCGTTTTTATCGCGGCGTATTTCAGTTCACCTTTGACCGCGTTTTTGACGCCGTTCTTCAAAAATTCGCAATGGTAAAAACGGAATTATTGATAGAAATAGTGAAAAAGTATCCTTGTTTGTATGATTTGTCGAACGATGAATACAGGAATGTGAGAAAGAAAGACAAGATTTGGATGGAAATAGGAAAAGAATTAAATACAAATGGTATGTACCTAATATTTTTTATTAACTTGTTAAATAATTTACAGTCTACACAAATGTGAAAACGAACATTCTATATATTGGGCATAGACATATCAGAATTAAAATAATTTACGAATTTGTCACGAGTAGAAAATGCTAGCCTTGCTGCCCGCCGAGGATCATTTGCTATATCAGTAAAAGCTCCAAGCACGGGTTCTGGGGGATCTAAGAATTAAAAATATTTGTCATCGCCACTTTTACTTCGTAAAAAATTGTGTAAAACACATGCCGTACGTACAATTAGAATAGTAGTATCTACTTTAGTTTCTAATGGCCTGTAAAATATTCGCCATTTTTGAGACAAAATACCAAACGCATTTTCCACGACCCTTCTAGCTCGACAAAGTCTTACATTGTATTTCTCTTTTCTGACGTCTGTTAAAGTCTGCTGCAGGAAATGGTCTCATAAGGTATGGTTTTAAAGCAAATGCTTCATCACCAATTAAGACGTACGAGCAGATTTCATTTTGCCCAGGGAGAAATCTAGGTGCAGGGACACTCATTAAATTTTGTTCAAATCGTCTTCCCATGTTTGAGGTTTCGAAAATACCCCCATCACTATTTTTTCCGAAACCACCAATATCAACACATATAAATTTATAGTCCGGGCCAACAATGGCCATAAGTACTATTGAATATTTATGTAAATAGCACCAGTAATTCTAGCCACTGTTGTTAGGTCTCTTGATTGTTACATGTTTACCGACCACGCTGCCAATGCAATTGGGAAATCCCCATCTATTTTCAAATTCTTCAGCACATTTTTTCCATATATTCTCTGTTGGTTCTGGTAAATATATATGCTCCATATGTCTGCATATCGCTTCACAGACTTCGGTTACGATTGCACTCACTGTTGTAAAGCCAACTCGAAAGCTATGCCCAATGGTATAGAAGGTGTCACCAGTGGCAAGGAATCTATAAAAAAATCGTTTTTAGGTGATGAAGTAAAAAAAGGTGAAAGAATATCAGAGACACATTTGCAAAATATATAAAATCTACCAAATCAAAGACCGGCCAAGCAGTGGGCAACATAAAAAAATGGCAGTGGGCTGACTACATGGAATTTTTCCGTCCTTTTTTGGCATTTGCCAAAACGTCGTCTAATGTGAAAGATATTGACGTCATACATTATGAGACTGCCGATTTTAGCTCAAATATATATCAGGAAAGGGCTGGAAATGTAGAAACCGAAAATTTGGAAGACCGCGGCCATGAAGAAGAAGATGCACAGAACGCCTCGGCAACACAGACAGCACCACCTTCTTCATTGAACACTACAGCAGTGACTACTCCAGGGCACACCTTTCCGCAGACTGCAACTACACCAAAATATAAAACGAGCAGAAAACGCTATGAACCACCATCTTCGTCTGTAGAACAGCTCATTAATTATTTTGAAGGTAAAAAACCTAAAAAAGAGAACGAGGCCATTGATTCACTTTTCTTGGCACATGCACAGACTGTGAAAACACTTCCCTTAAAGCGTCAAGCCCGAATAAAACTAAAAATAGCCGAATTAATAGCGCACGAAGAATTTGAACATATTGAAGAAATGTCTTCAGCGTCTACCCAGAATTCTGCAAGTATGTATGATAGTAGTATGTCGTCCTTCCCAAGCGGCACTGGGTTTACTCCAATAATATACCCAACAGAGGAGGCAAATTCTGCCTCGAATTATTTAGCAACATTTAATCCTAGTGGCAACATGTAGTCCAATTATTACAATAAAATATTTATTTCACGATCCCTGAAGTTTTCATATTCGATAAGCCTACTAATTTTAATACATATAATTTTTTCACCTGAGTGTAATAGCAAGTCGTTCTTCTGGCGAAATAGCTTCACGATAATTTGTGTCAGATTTTCGTATTTCATCTTTCACCAAGTTCAATATTTCATCAAAACACTCTGGAGTCATTCTAAAATATACGTAAAAGCGCTGTTCATCCAGCCGAAGTTGTGGCATCAAGGTATGGTATTCCCCAAATTTATTTCGTTCCAAGTTAATATCATGTACCCACTTCCTTCGTTTCCTAAACAAAATTGAAAATATTTGTTTTATGTACTTCGTTAAACTTAATACATACCCAACTATCAAATGGCGTTAAATAAACATAACTTACCGTGCATTTTGTTCCTCTTCTAAAGCAAGAAATAGAAGTGCCTCCTCTTCTCCTGAAGACGAGCTCATTGCAAAAGGCAAAAATAAAATGTACGCAACCTGTCGAAACCTTCACGTTCGCGGAGCGAATAAGACGCTTTGGTATGAATAAACAGGCGAAACAGATTGCGAATTTCGCTCTGAATTTCGTTGCGAATACTTCGCCGCGATTATTTCGCGCCGGTTTGTGGGATGCTACTGTTCAGAGTCTGGCGAACTTAACGTTCTGTGACTTCTGGAGGTAAACGTCACGTGTCACGTAAACGAAACAACAGCGTCAGCAGCGGCGTGCCGCCTGCAGCAGCGCCAACTGGGAACTGGCAACAGTCTTGTCTAGAGGTGATCTTAGCAGCGACTTGCAAGTCGCCGGGATAACGGTGACAGCGACCTTAAAGTCGCCGGTAGATTTAGCAGCGCTTTAGGTCACTGCTTATCTATGGTCGCTGCCAGCAGCCAGCGACTCCCTGGCGCTGATTAAATTACTCGATATTTGGCGGCGGTTATCCATTGATATTAAGGAGGTGTAGATGTTCAGGTTCCTGAAGATTTGAATTAAACTATATTTAAGGTTTTTATTTTTAACAATATTGAGCACAAAACACATAAAATCATAAAAATACATAAAATATCTTTCTATGAATCTTAAAAAGTAAAACAAAATACTATTTTACCAGTCAAAATAAAACTTTTAAAACATAACAAATGTAGTATAAAAATGCTTCTTTTATATGTTAAACATTGCTTAATAAACGAAACATTTTTCTATGAAACAGGAACTCACAACAATAACAATAAAAACTAACAAAATAGGTTAGGCTACGCTGTAGCGACCTTGTACTTCCCGCGCGATGATCGCGAACACGATGTGTATATGCTTCCTGGCAGCGACCGCGACCGAAACAGCGTTAGCGCGGTTTCACACACACCGATATTATCGGTGTCGTTATCGGTATCGGTATCGGTTTGCCTAACAAATACATTGCCTTAAATGAATAGTTTTACACAAAAACCGACCCGATAAATATATCGGTGGCCGTGTTCGATATCGTTGCGTCTGTCGGATGGTCGAGTTAAAATCGGCCAGTAAATTATCGCCCGGTTTAGTACGCAATGCAAACTAAATAGGCACATTCACACGTTCCGACTTGTCGTTATCGGTGTGTCATATCACTTTTGAAACTCAGTGTCGCACGAGTAGTTTGGCGTATTGACTGGTTGCTGGAACACGGGTTATACTTAATATGAGTGTGACTAAATTTAATTACGACATTGTTACACTCATTGAATTGGTGGAAGCAAGGCCCTGTTTGTGGAATAAATTTTCCGAGACTTACAAAGACAAGATATTGAAAAAACGTGAGTGGAAAGAAGTGCATAAATACCTTGAAGCCAATTTCGATAATTTAAATGAACAAGAACAGCAAAAAATTGGTAAGTGCATGTTTTTACCTGTATTTATTCACATTTACAGCCTACGTTACAGATCTAGGTTAGTACATAATATGTACCTATTTGAGCTTTAAACTTAAAGAACACTTGCCTAAATGTAAAAGTAATATCTAAGTATAAAGACATTAAATAGAACCAGAAGCAGTAACTTATGCGCTAAATTTTAGACATTTGCCATGGTAAGGATCCCTCTGGACTTACAAAGAATTCTGCAAATTTATCGCGAACATCATTGGCAGCTCGTCCACCGCGACATGCTGTAGTTGGTGGTAGATTTTGTAGCTCTCTGTCTGGTGCGTACATATCTTCTACACGAGTGCCATCTTTTTCTCGAACTAGGTTGTGCAAAATTATGCACGCTTTAACAATATCTTTTGCGTACTCCTTACCAACATTTATGGCTCTGTGAAATATTCGCCACTTATTCACTAATATACCGAACGAACATTCTATGTACCGTCGCGCTCGACATAAGCGATAATTGAAAATTCTTTTATTAATATTTAAACTATGGCCCCCATATGGCCTAAGTAAATTCTGGGAAAGTGCAAATGCTTCGTCTCCAACTAAGACGAATGGTAGATTGTCTCCTGTTGAAATTAGGGGGCTTGGGTGGGGAATATTCAAGGCATTTTGTTGTAATAATTTCCAAAACACGGTTTCTTTAAATACTGATGAGTCGCAATCCTTACCAAAGGCACCTATGTCTACGTATATAAAGCGGTAATTAGAATCCGCAATAGCCATTAGGACTATCGAAAAAAAATGTTTATAATTCAAATTCATCGATCCACTGCCTGGAAACTTCATAATGCGGACGTGTTTCCCGTCCACAGCTCCTATGCAGTGCGGAAACTGAGCATTTCTTGTAAATCCATCAGCAATGTCCTTCCAATTTTCTACTGTTGGAGTTGGAAGATATTCATCTTTCAAAATATTCCAAATACTATGACAAACATCTTTTATAATCTTGCTTATGGTTGAAACTCCTAATCTGTAGGCATAATGCATATCCGTGAACGTGTTTCCACTTGCCAAATATCTGAAAAAAATATCTATGTATACCATCTATTTCAGGTGACGCTATTACAACAAAGTGGCAAAATATAAGAGATGCGTTTGTTAGATCCCTTAAGAAAAAGAGTGGACAGGGTGCACAACGAAAATATGTTTACCATGATCAGCTGCAATTTTTGTTACAAGTTATGAATAAAGATGAAACGATCTCTAGTATTTCGGATGAGGAAGTGCACCAAGGAGAAGAAACTGAAAATTGAAATGAGGTCCCACCTACACCAGCAATATCTAAAGCCAGTTCAAGAAGTTCCCATGCAAGTAAAACTCGCCAAGGCCGCAAGAGGCTTGCAGACCCCATTGAATTGGAAATTAGGAAAAAACTAAATGAACCTTCCAATGAAGATGAGTCATTCTTCAATTCCGTTGTTCCTATGATAACAACAATGTCAGAAGAGGAAAAAATTGAGTTTAGGATGGGAGTACTGCAGCTAATTCAAAAAATTAAACGAAATCGTCACATAAGCACCTCTAGCATCACCTTTTCTACTTCTCCTGTGTCTGATTTCTCTGCAGTCTCATCTCCGTCATATACTATTCTACAAGCAGCAAACCCATCAACGACAAACTATCAGTCGTTTTTTCAAGAAGGGTCATATATATCAACAAGTAGCACCTCACAAGATGTTTCACAACATTGCCAAAATAGTGTATGAATTATTTTTATTGTCAAAGATAAGTTTATGTAAGAATTTTTATATGTTATGTTACTTTAAATGCAAATAAAGAATTTCCTTAATCACTTACCTCAGTGTTATTGCCAGCATTTCTTTTGGAGGTACACATAATCTCATTTGAGTATCTTGTCTTTGTAAGCTACATGATAACTTTTCTAGTAAGTAGTCAAATGTAGCTGTGCTCATTCTGAAGTAGTTAAAAAACTTTTCATCATGCTCGCGAAATTTTTCAAACATTGTATAAAATGCTCCTTCTACATATTTTTGAGATAATATGGGATGGACCCAATATCGTCTTCGTCTTTTTTCTCGACACTTCTTTTTTCGCAAATACAGCAAATATAATAAAAACACAGCTTTTTTGTTCATATTAAATAATAAACTGTTCCGAGACGCTACACACACCGCACTGATCCCTGGCCTTTTATGAAAGACGGCGCAAAGTTTTACTTTTTTATCGGTGTGTAAGAAAGCACTCTCCGATACCGATTCCGATAACGACACCGATAATATCGGTGTGTGTGAAACCGCGCTTACAGCTACCGATCAGTGGTTACCGATACCGATACTTCCAAACAGCGATCTGGGTCGCTGCTTCATGGAGAATCAGGTCGCCGGGACTAACGGCGACCATTCAAGTCACCGGGAAAGGTCGCCGGTACCGATATATCGATCATCTCTAGTCTTGTCTTGTGTGCGTGACAGGCGTCAAGAACTTCAGAGAGGCATTTTCTATTTTGACGATTTGCATTCAGCAGTTTTGTATTTTCCCGAAAAATGAAGAGGAAGAGTGGTCGCAAGTCTAAGGCACAAGACGAAAATGGATCGAACGGTGTAGAGGAGAATGGGGCAGATTCCGAGATTGAGGAAACGCCGAAAAAGAAAAGGTCGGCCAGTCCTAGGAAATCAAAGAAGGATGATGCATCTTCGATTAACGAGTCTGCTGATTCTGATAATTCGGATGAGGTAGGCCCAAATTTATTAGTACTGTCTAATATATACAGTAATCAAATTTTATGCTAAATATTTACTGCTACAAGTGAGTAAATCATGATCGCAGTCTGACTGTGGACCGTGCTGAAAGCACTAAAAATTATTAAGTATAATATTAATAATTCGTTTGTTGGAACCGGTGTTTCTAGTGATGTCATGAATTTTTTTACTGAAATTTTCGTGTTCGGGAATTAGTAATAACCACACTGTGTTCAAACAAGGGTAGCAATGTCCAATTTTGCTCTTACTAGGCAGCCCTACGGTGCTTAGAGGTCAAACCCTCAAAAGTTATAGTAAATTGAATCTATTGAACAAGGTATTTATAGGTTATGAAAAAATCGAAACTTTTATATACCTTATTTCACAAGTATTCATCAGGGTAGAATGGCAGCTGATTATCTAGTAATATCTCAAAATTCCCCATATCATCATAGGACACATAATTCTGACAGATCCGTCATCGCCAGGTAGATAGAACCGTATTTTGGTTTTTTTTTGTACCCTACAGATTCATTTTGTACTTGCTAACAGCTCTTTTATTTAGAAAAGTTCATTGCATACAGAAACAAATGCCACAAACAAGTTTTACTAGATTTATACCTGATTCATTATTGTCAACATTACAGACTAACACAAAAATGTCACTTGCTGATCAGCTATTCACCTCAATAGATGTCAATGTGTGACTGATACTCGTGAAATAGGGTAAAACAATTATTTTTTCTCCTTCTCAAATATATACCCTGCAACCATTGACTTAGGTTTAACCTTAGACATGACTACCAACCTAACTAGCCCATCTAGTTCTAACTTGCCAGATCATCACCCAGTGCATTCAACAAATAGAGCACCTAGATGGCTATAACTATGGCAGCTATTGGAAAGTTATCAAGATGATCTGTGTATCTTGGCTATATCAGTAATTCCAAATTTGACCCTCACTGTTGGGGTATCAGAAATGGCAAGAGAAAGAGAGATTTAGGTAACTAAAAAATGCCACTTAGAAAGTTTCAAAATACAAAGTACTTCCGGTCATGAATTTGTTGTTCGAACAAAAATTATAAGGAATAAAAAGGTACAGTTTTGACCTCAAATTGAACATAGTAACAGGATTTAGAAGACTGAGAAGAAGGGAAATAAACTGAGCAGTGAAAAATGTATGGAGAGGAGTCAGACTTTGCCTCAAAAATAACAGTCATTTTGAACATCTGCTATTATTATCTGCTTATTTATGATTATTATCACCATGAATAACATTTTCATTTTGTGTTCATACCTTTTTATTTCCTTATAATTTTCATTACAACAACAAATTCATGGCCAAGAAGAAGTGCATTTCAGAATTTAGGACTGAAAAACCCATTTAAATCCACAAATTTCTACCAATATAGTGTCCATATGAAGAAACAAAGTTGGTGACGGAATTCAAAAGAAGCAACTTCAAAAAATTTGACTACACCATCTTGTAGATGAGAAAAAGTGGCAATAACAATATGCAATTTATTTTGAAGGTCCATCTCAAAGTCGGAAAGCCAATTTATAAAGAAATACTTTTTGACATAATCATTCAGCAACAGCATGCAAAGTCCACATAAGGAGAAATGAATCTGTTTATTTATATATATATAGGTGAAAAATAAAGCTTCTGCCTTTAGTTGGGTACTTCGACAAAATTCAAGCAATGGACTCTTTATACTTTATTAGTCTCTAGCTTTCAATGAACTTTGCGATCTTCATCAGGAGAATAGTATGTGAGATTGTTGCTAAATGTTATTAACGGTTAAGTTGAGGGAAACATTTATAACCTGGTGAAACATGGGACATTCATTAAAATTAATATAAAATACACACAGCTGTATGTGAGGAACACAGCAAAATGGATTAAAAATATTTAGAACGAAAGTTAAGTAGAAACCTAGAAATACCCCAGCCTTTCTGAAGGAGAGAAAATACTATGAAAATCAAGGAGGCCATAAAGGCGTCCTAAAATCGTAGGAACGACTGACGATACGGCACTTAAAGGTGTATGATCAAGCCATTGCTGCCATTTAATTATCTAGGCCCAGTTTTTCAATCGCAAGTTAACTGCAACTTGGCTGCTAACCAGAAGTTATTAAAAAGCGTTTTTTAATCTCAAGTTTGTCTTAAACCAGTTGTTAACTTCAAACAGAGAAGCATGTATGTATGCTTTAGCTATAGTTATGTGCTTAAGAGTCGCATTCAGTCACAAGATACAAATAATAAACAAGAGTAAACGCATAGAACATGATAAAAAAAAAATAATGCAGGCATACAAGCAGTGTTGCTTGTGGAGGGTATTTAAGAAAGATTTTTTTAGCTGTTGTTGAGTAGGATTTATTACAGATTTTAAAATACAACTTGAGTAAATGCAGCATCATTTTCTGCAAAATATAAGGGTGCTGAAAAGAAAATTTTAAGACTGAACTTTCACTTACTCCATCTGTCTGTATTATTCTTGATATTGAATGTTATTTATAGGAAAAGTCAAAAAAGGATGACCCTGATGAAGATCCCTTGGGTTCTGCTGAAAATGATGAAACTGCTTCAGAGGTATGCTGATTGTTTAATTTTTTATGCAAAAGCACTTATCTCTTAAAAAAAACATTTTTCATCGTCCCTTGCTATCAATATTGTCAATGCTGGGAATTCCATGGATTATTGTGATTGAATTCTTTGTCCTGTAAATGGAATTTTAATAGTTCTGTTGGGCAATAATTATTATTATTATTATTAAAACCATCATACTCTTAGTAGTTTTTATTCTTAGTGGTCTTAACAAATTATCTCTATTGAATTATGTCATGGTTTGGTAACGTCTAAAATCTGAATGTATTGATTCGGTATGCATATTGCAGAAACTAAAGATATTTTTTTCTTTCAAGTCAACAAGAAACCTGTTAATCATACCATTTACAGTGACTATTACTTTTGGTTAAAGTGAGGTGTAAATATAACAGAGGAAAATGATACCTCAAGATCGTCGCATTTAATTTCAAAATACAATCTCACTATAAAATTAACACTCGCCACTTCAGCACATGCATACCTCAAACAAGATAAATTAACAGACAGCTCGACAATTATGTCAACGACAATCTTTAGGAGTTATCTTTAATAAACAATATCTGCTGATTCAGCAACATTCAAAATACACCATATCGTTGTGACAGAGGCGTAGCGTGTAGCTATTAGCTGCTAATGATCGTGACTACATTATTTCAAGTCAGCAGAGAACTACAATTCTAATCAACATTTGCTGAAAATACTTGTGATATGTAACTGAAAATCAATAGATTTACTATTGACGATAGTACAAACCAATGGAGACATTGCAGTTGTTTCCATTAATCTTGCTAATTAATTGTTCATTCCATTTTATCGTATGTGGTTTGGTTAAGCAAGTCATAAACAAAAAAATATCTTTTCTGGCTTCTTCATTGTTGATAAGATTTATCACCTTTTTCCATGTATGTAAGCCATAACAAATGGTCAACCTCCAAGTGACCAATAATAAGCTATAAACTGATATAAACCTTCATTTTGCAATTCTAAAAATTGTCGCAAAAGTATCATAAAATCTCATGTCCGCGTCTTAGATATCAAACGTGCGCAAAGATATCGCTTCCTTTGGGTTTGCTGTTATTTGCATTTATTATGACTATTGTAGAGAATAAAATTTCCTAAAACTTTTATTTCAAACATTTTTTCATAAAATTAACCGTTTCTTGAGTACATAATTAGCATTTTTTATTAATTCTTATCTTATAGTTGATAACACTGGTCAACAAAATTTTAACTTTGTCGTGCCACACGGACTTTTTTGATATTTTTTACTTTAATCGGTGATTGTAAGAAAAAATAAACAGTTAAAAAAAATTTGCTAGACAAGGATTTTATTCTATTGAGTAATTTAAAATATTAAGAAAAAACACAGATCTCGTAAATCAAAAGTTATTTTTGTTTATAAATGAATTAATAATCTAAGATTTTTTTGAATATTTAGCTTCTGGTTGGTCCCTTTTAATTGTCCAGCAGTAATCTGCTAACATATTTGGGCTCCATTTGCCCTGGTACCGCTTTTCCATATTAGAAATGTTCTGATGGAACCTCTCACCGTGCTCGTCGCTGACAGCCCCTAAATTGTCAAGAAAAAAAACCAGGTGCGAGTCTAAAAAATGGATCTTAAGTGACATGTTGCAACCCAATGCTTGATATGACAATAATAGCTCGCTAACCAACTCTCTGTAGCTGTCACTCTTGTGGTTACCCAAAAAATTTGAAACAACATTTTTAAAAGCCTTCCATGCAGATGTTTCTAAATCGCTTAATTTTTCTTCAAATCTTGAATCTTTGATTAACTCCCTAATTTGAGGGCCAACAAAAATACCCTCTATTATCTTTGCATCACTTATTTTAGGGAATTTTTCTTATAGATACAAAAATCCACTCCCATTGCGATCCATTGCCTTCACAAATTTTTTTATTAATCCTAATTTGATATGCAATGATGGTAGAAGCACATTATTTGGCTGTACAAGGGGTAAATACTTTACGTTTTTTGCCCAGGAACTAACGATGCACGCGTAGGCCATGTTTTTTTTATATAGTGATTAGTTCTGTCTCGGCTATCCCATTCACATAAAAAGCAGCAAAACTTTGTATAACCCAGCTGAAGTCCAAGTAATAGTGCAACAACTTTAAGATCACCGCAGATTTTGAAGGAATATGTACTGTAATTTATTTTTTCAAGTAAAAGTTTCATATTTTCATAGGTTTCTTTCATATTTGCTGCATGGGCCAGAGGTACAGACGGAAGCTTATTTCCATTATGCAATAACACTGCTTTTAGACTTGCTTTCGAAGAATCAATGAATAAACGCCACAGAGAGATCAAAATCTATGACCAACATTTTCATAATCTCATTTATGTTATTGCAAAACACCAAATCCCCATCCTGAGAAAAATACGTTCTGAAGTGTTGATCACAGTTTCGAAAATAGCTAACTTTTGTATTATGATGAAGCAAATTCCATTCTTTTAGACGTGATCCTAATAGTTCTGACTGCTTTTTTGACAAATTTAAATCCCGAACCAAATCATTTAGGTCTCCTTGAGTTATCAAATGTGGCTCGTTTACAATTCCTTTTAACTCAAAGTCATCGTCCTCGTCAACACATTCACCTGAAGTGGACGGTTGTGAATTGTTCTCAACAGACGTAGTTGCAACTGGTATGAGTTCTGGCAATTTTTTACAACGAGAGACTGGTCTTATAGCCGAAGATAAGTTAGGGTAAATAACTGTGGTTTTTTTCTTGTAATTTATACCTTTTATGTCTGTGAGACAAAAATAGCAATCTGAAACGTGATCTCGCTGTTCAGTCCATATCATGGGTACAGCAAACGGCATAGGTCGTGCACCTTTCTTCCAGTCGGTTAAATTTTTCACACACGTTATGCAACAGACATGAGGGGCCCAGGATTAGTCTTGATGGGCGACAGAAAAACCAAAACATTGGTGATAACACTCCAACACAAGATTCGTAAAATTTCGTCGTTGTTTTTTGAATGTTAGTTCTCCGCAGACATAACAAAAAGAGTTAGGATCATTATTACACTTCCTCGACATATTCACAGGGTTAATAAATCACAAAAAAGTGTTCAAATTCAACAACAAATATTTTTATAAGGATTTACTTGTAAGCGTTTCTGTTAATTGACTGCCGTAGTACTAGTTATGAGTATTACCGTATCACGACAAATATGAGGCTAATAGACATATGACAGCTGTCATGTAATAATGAGGGTAGACTGATAAAACAAAATTAGCTGTCAAAGTTCGTGTGGCAAAACCAGTGTTGACCAGTGTAATTTATTATTTATTGTAGAATATATTCTAATATATACTAATTATATTATTTATTGTATTATACATAAAAAACAAATACATTTTAATTATATTTTAGGGTAGATATGTAATACTGTAGGTCCTGTACAACATATACAGGGTTTGTCCGGAAAGTAATAGGACTGAGTCGATTTAAAAAATTTATTGAGCCAATCGTTACAATTCTTTAAAAACTTCCAAAATAGGCTCCTTCTGCGTCGATGCAGCACTGCCAGCGCGATTTCCAAGCATTGAAGGCGTCACGGAAGGCATTCTCCGGAATAGCCTTGAGAACCGCGGTGCATGCTGCTTGGATCCTCTCTGTCGTCTCAAAATGCTTGCCTTTCATTGGCCTTTTCCGGCGAGGAAACAAAAAAAAGTCCGGGAGTGCCACATCTGGGCTGTAGGGCGGCTGCGGAAGCGTTGGGATGCCGACCTTGGTCGAGTTTCACACAGAATTTAATCGCGTAGCTCTGCTCTAACGAACGCTGCCTTTTCGGCTTACACCACTCACAGAAACACGTCGCGCGAAAATGCCTGTCCTGACTCTCCAAGTGCTCGGAGACAACTGACCAGCCGCTCATTCGTTAGCTAGGAACGCCCTCTACCGAATCCAGTCGGTACGCGCACGCTCCGAAGTACAGTCATGGCGGAAGAAAATGAGTCCTATTACTTTCCGGACAAACCCTGTATGATGTTTTGTTGGCATAATTCTCCGTTTCTATTCTGCGATTTTTTTTCAATTTTGAGTAGTCACAGAATCACCCTGCATGCACCGGATTTTTTGCAAAGCTATATCCTAGATATCGACTATTATGGGGTCTGTATAACATACGAGCCCTGTCTCAGTGAAGTTGGGCCCACTATCAAAACTACGTTTTTATGAAATTTGTCATATTAGAAACAATATCTTTTGAATTAAAAAAACTGCATTTTCGACTAATTACTGCTTCGATACACATTGACATAGTACACATTTCTTGGAGACGGGTTCGCAATTCTGGAACGGATCTTGCGGCATTCGATCGGAGCTTTTTCTTCACGATATGCCACAAGGTTTCAATCGGCGATACTTGACGTCCATTTTAAGGTAATACTGAAATATTGTTTTCTATCATCCAATCTTTTACCTTTTTTAGTCGTATGGCAAGCGGCATCATCTTGTTGGAAGATACATTCAATATTGTTTAAACGCATTTGTTCAATTTGGGGTATCAAGTTTTCCACTCCACTTGCTGACATGGATCCCCAATGATATCACTGGTCAACACTGGTTTTGCCACACGAACTTTGACAGCTAATTTTGTTTTATCAGTCTACCCTCATTATTACATGACAGCTGTCATATGTCTATTATCCTCATATTTGTTGTGATACGGTAATACTCATAACTATTTAGTACTACGGGAGTAAATTAACAGAAACGCTTACAAGTAAATCCTTATAAAAATATTTGTTGTTGAATTTGAACACTTTTTTGTGATTTATTAACCCTGTGAATATGTCGAGGAAGTGTAATAATGATCCTAACTCTTTTTGTTGTCTGCGGAGAACTAACATTCAAAAAACAACGACGAAATTTTACGAATCTTGTGTTGGAGTGTTATCATCAATGTTTTGGTTTTTCTGTCGCCCATCAAGACAAATCCTGGGCCCCTCATGTCT